AACCTGTCAGACCTTGTTTCGGGGTTCCTCCATTGCTGCGGGAGGGACCCACCTTTGCAAACGTGCCCAATTAAAAAAACTTCTGTCTACTGGACAACCAAACCCGTGTCTGTCGTTTTCTGACAGTAGCAACAGTCCTGTTGGGTGATGGTATGCCAATGTCAGCCCATTATTCCACCCAAGGCCTATTTGCTGGTTCCCTTATTGCCTATTGCTCTCTGAATGGTCATTTGTGGGTCCACCCCAACCTACACCCCTGGCTGGCAGACAGCATGTCCTATCATATGCTAAAGTAACACTAGTTTCAGTTTAGATATGTGAATGTGTGTCTCTCTTCATTTAGTCCCATTGCAGAAGAAATGTACTTAATTTCCATATATGATTAAGGACAACTGCAGTGTGCTTCACCGTTTTGCAATCAAGCAGCTTCGGATATAATTTGTTCTTTTTTTAGAATCTTTAAAAGGAATAGGAAAAAAAAGTGGTTAAACTCAGTTTTAGAAAATTCCCTTCTTTCTAGCACCAATTATTTGATGTATTTAGCATACACACATATATATGTAATATACAAACACTCTGTGGTAGTAACTGAGTAGGCAACTCCTTGCAGCAGTGTGTCACGGGACAAGGAACAGCTACTCAGCTCTTCGCGAAAACGGAGCTTTTCAGTTGAACTGGGACTCTCCTTTCTCCACCCTTCCCAAACCACGACAGAGTACACGCCGCTTCACGTCGCTTAGCATTTGGATTCCGGAGAGTCTTCCCAAAGCTCTTTTGGCGGAGCGCCGGCGGAACTGTAAGTATGGCTCGCAGTTGCCGCCCGGTCATTTGTTGATGTCTCCCTGGCCAGATTGCCTTACCCTAACTACCTCCGTTCGCGCGGTTGCCAGGGTAACAGAGACCTTGGAGAGGCAGAGCAGCAGCAGACGACCGTTGTTATTGTGAAGCAGGCCTGTGAGCAAGATGGTGAGGGCCAGGAGGAGTCGGATAATGATAGATTAAGCGGCTTTTCTAAAGACATGGGAGGGCGAGAAAGACTGGTAGAGTCCTATTCGCTTTACCTGTTTTTACTTTCATCGCTTTTTGCAGATGCTCTCACGGCTGAAACCCGCTGTTGGAGGCGGGCCTCAATCAGCGGATAAGCGCAGAAAGAAAGGCAAACGGCTGCCGCAGCTGGAAGATTTGTTAACTCAGCGAGATTTCACTGGGGCCATTGCCCTTTTAGAGGTACTAGGGATACATCTGGGGAATGCAGCGGGACGAGGGTTCTGCAAGTCAGTTGCTATGGCCGCTTCTGGATTGTTGGCGAGCATGAGTATATTTAAGACTTCTCCTGTGTTCGGTAAGCAGATGATCGGAGCAGATCAATGCTTAAGAAAAAAGAGAAGGGTGTCCATCCATCCACCCTCTTGTTACTTTCATCATTTCAGACTGAGAACATCCCTGCTTTTTGCTTCTTTGATTTTCTAGGGTGGCAAATACCACCTCTGGAAAATTGAAGGTAAATCTAGAGTCTAAACTACTTTATGCAGTGGCCCAGGATAATCCCCAGATTACAATTTATTCTCCCCAGTATAGATTAAATGTAGTCATCATAGTTGATGAGTAGACTTATGATGACCTATTAGCTGTGATAAGAAATCTACTGTTTTGTGGTATCTAAATCACAAGACTATGAATATGATAGACTATAATGACTTTGCTTTATCAGTTTAGGAATTAGGATTTTATATTAACCATCTTAGTTTTGTGGAGGAAGTAAGATAAACTGCTTGTTCACACTGTGATTTATTATGCCAACATTCCTGGTTTATCATGTGTGAACATGGCCATAGGCTAATAGTGGCAAAGTCTTAGCAAGAAATAAGTTTGTAGAACAATGCAGCAGAAGCAGTATTATCTTACTAACTGGAACACGAATGAGCAGCATGCTCATATGGATGGTTTAGTGTGGTTTCTGAATGAGAGAGTATGATTATTGTACCTGAACAAATTAGGATTAATTTTATTTAGTTTATTAGTCTATAAATTCTTGTCTGGTTTTGTAGAGTATAATTCCAGGGTTGATACATTGAGATGCAAGTATGAAAGAGCCGAGTTTGGATCATGAATCACTGTGTGTTTGCCATCACTTCTTGACCACAGTAGTTACATGCAGACACCTATGGGTAGTCAAATTACAATGCTGTTGCCTTTTTAAAAACCTGCATGTGCAAAGAGAAAAGGAAAGTTGGAGTATTGCAACCAGCCTGCAGCTCACTCATATTGTGGTTTAATGAGCTAGGATACCTGACTTTATCATTATGAATAAATGGACTCTGTACATATTTTTATAACTGACAGTGACAAATAGACTGATTTTTATGGAGATGCTATGACCTTAATATCGTCATAGAGAAAATCTGTGTGGTTGCTAAGTCAACATTGACTTGATGGCACATCATATTCATGATCACCTTAATACATTTCTACCTGCCAGTCATAAAAACTGGCTATCTAAATATTTTTAAACATTTAATTACATAACTTAAATTCAAGCCCTTCTTTTATACATGCACATCATATATACAGCGACTTTTGAAAGTGTATAAATTAAAGCTCTGTCACTGCCTAAAAGATTAGATTTATGTATCTATATCATATGGCTGCAATCTATGAACTTACTTTAAAATAATTAGAAATTACATGAACTTGGTCACAATTGGGTATCACTTTAATTTTATTTGCCTTCTTTCCAAGTTTAAGCGTCAGGTTGGGGAACAGGAGGAAGATGCAGACCTCTGGATTGGATATTGTGCTTTCCATTTGGGTGACTACAAGAGAGCACTGGAGGTGAGGTAGTGCTGTTTCCTCTTGAAAAGGAGGATGTTATTTTAAATTTGTAAGATTGAGAAGCAGTTAAATGTGTCTCAAAGTAATATAAAAGCAAAAGGACTGACTAATATTTTGTGTCTAGAAATCTAGTGAATAAATGTTATATTGTTTATTATTTTGACTAATTTACAAAGCATAAAGTATTAACTTTATGATCTATTTTTCAAAATCTATGCATGAGGAAAATATATTTCTTGATATAAAATCATTTTGGAAGAAAATGTAACTAATTTACACATGACCTATGTCTCTAACATCGTTCCTCAAATTTACCATCAGTGAAAAATGAAATGTAATACTGTAATGTATCAAATGTTTATTCTCACAGACCAAAATAAATAAGATAAAATATCAGAATGAAGTATTTAAAACATTTGCATCTATTTGAAGTCATGTTGTTTAATTATTGTAGAAGAAAACTGTAATAATACAAATTAGGGCTGTGCAAAGCACTTAAACAGATGTTTTGCAAAGCACATTGTTATGAGCAAAGTTTTCCTCCTTAAAATGCAGAGGTAGTAGCATCTTCCAGAAAGCTCCATACAACTCTTTTGAGGGGATTTCCAGGTTCACTATGCATGTGCATGCACATAAAACATTTCCATTATTACTTCCAACAGGGCAAAACTGCTGTACGTGCACACACTTGCAGAAGTGGCCTGGGGAAGCCCTGAAAGCAGTTGCAATGAAAAGGATGCAGCTTTCTCAATGTTTTGATGACAGCTGAAATATGAAGTCTGCATTGGATAGAATTAGTCACTTCTGTTTATACTTCTTACTTATTTACAGTTCTTATGTGCTCTGACTGGGTTACAAGAAGAAATAAAGCAAGCATAAATTTGTCTGTGATGGTTAAGCAAGGCTGTATCAAAAATTGTTATTTATTTAAGGAGTATGAGGATTTAACCAAGGGATCTGCCTGCAACCCTGATGTGTGGGTGAATCTAGCATGCACTTACTTCTTCCTGGGAATGTATACACAAGCTGAACAGGCTGCTTTGAAAGGTGAGTCAGGTAATTGAGGCTGCTTTTTAAAATATATGTTTACTGGCAGTAAAATCCAGTGAACTTATTGGAACTGAATAGGGGCATTGGTTACACTGTGAAAATGATGCATATGAATTAATTAATTAGTTTGAAAACCTAGGTATTCTTATTAATTTTGCTTTCAGCTCCCAAGAGTAGACTTCAGAATCGTCTGTTGTTCCATCTAGCACACAAGGTATGTATATTTTAAATTTCAAAACATTGGATCAAATTTAGAAGCATTTGAGATATTTTGAAATTCAGTTCCCATCACTTCCTCAAATTTTATTTAAAATCTTATAAATACCCATCGTGCTATTCCTTTTCAGAGTAAGCGGTGTTATGTAAGGTGCTGAAAAAAAGGAAGCAAAACAAATTGGAGACGAGTCGATAAGAGGAAAAGGAAAGACACCTAACTAAATCTAGTTGACACCAACACCATTTGCTATACCGCTCTGTACCATGGAGATTCTGTTACAATTTATTTTATTTTGGTCAGCTTATATATATATACATACTCATGCTATTCTGAGCTGGATTGCCACTTCATGAACAAAATACAATAATATTTTACACCTTCAGCCTTACCATTTAATTTCTGGAAGGCTTGTTTAAGTGAGAAAAAAGTTCTCTTGACTATATAGAGTGCTGAAATGAAGAGCTGAAGTACTAAGTATGCACAGAAGCCAAAGCCTGAAAGTTACATGGTAAGAAGAATTAAGATAACTAAGCAACAGATGATCCTTTGGCAGATTGCCTGGAGTCAGTGGAAAAAGAATTGGTTTCTAATGAAAAGTGGTGGAGGCTCAAGAAAAATATGGTTAAAATATTGTTTTCAGCAGACTGAAAGTATTAGTATGTAAGGCATCCATATCTCTCTCTCTTTTAATTAAATCACATTGTCTTCTTAGTTTGGTGATGAGAAGAAACTGATGAGCTTCCATCAGAATTTGCAGGATATAACAGAAGACCAGCTTAGTCTAGCATCTATACACTACATGCGATCTCATTATCAAGAAGCTATTGATATCTACAAACGCATACTACTTGATAACAGGTTGAGTCAACTTCTCTCTTTATCTGTTTAACATGTTATCGATTACAGTAGTTCATTTTCTCAATTGAATTCTATAATAGAATTGAGAAAATTCTTGTGAATTGTCACAGGTTCATTTAATATCCAAGGGTAGATTACCCAGACTCACCAAGATATTCCCAATGAGACACTGCACCCACAGACTTTTCTCTCCCTTTTTTATATTGGGGTTTCTTTATAAAACCAATATTCACAGTACAAAATGTTCTTGTTTCTACCCAGGTGTTCCACTAATACAGTTTTCACCTAACCTATATTTCTATCGCTCAATTTACTATTATACTACTCTACCTATTAACCACTACTGCTATCCCTAGAATATATATTACTATTCCCAGGTACCCATGCTCCTTTAAAAGGACAATGCTCCTGGCCTTTCCACAAACCTTGACTGCTGCTCTCTCCCTTGCTTCCTTTTGCCTCTCTTCTATACACCCAGCACACTACCACACCACCACCACACCCAGCTGTTCCAAACACAAAGCTTTTTAAACAATCTCTCCCCGTCTGGACACGGAAGTGCTTTAGAATTAAAGGGGAAGGTATCCAATTTCAGTTGCCTACACTCTTGTTACAACCCATCCTTCCACATGAATCAATGTGATTTGTTTACTTGTGTGTATCTATGAGCATGTATGAGAATGCAGAAGAACAGATTTAGAAGAGAGCATTAAAAAAAACCTGCAGTTTTTAATTTAAAAGTAGAAAACAGAAAAATAGCTGGATCAGATCAAGATCTATTTTAATCCAGCGATATGTTTATCACAGCGACCAACCAGATCCCTCTAAGGTGCTCACAAGTAGGAGATGAAGACAAGCACCTCTCTTGCTATTGTTCCCTTTCAGTTTGTATTTGGAGGCTTGCAGCCCCTTACTGAAACATTGAACACTGAGTCCTCAAGCCTAATAGCTCTTGATAGATGTATTCTTCATGAGTTTATCCTCTTTTAAAGCAATTCAAACTAATGGCCATCCCTATGTCTTGTGTTACTGAATTTCACAAACCGATTATGCATTGTATGAAAAAATGCTTTCTTTTGTCTGTTCCAAATCTTCCAGTCAACTTCTTTGAAGTCTCCCGATCCTAGTGTTTTGAAAGAGAGAAACATCTTCCTGTCTATTCTCTCTGCTCTGCATGATTTTATATACCTTGATTGAATTCCCATTCAGTTACTTTTTCTTCAAGCTAAGAGCCCCAAACAAAGATATTTGAGCCCTTTGATTGCTTTCTTCCACACTTTTTCCAACACTATTGCATTATTTTTCAAGTGAGACCAGAACTGTACATAGTACTTCAAAGGTGTTCAGCTACAACGGGGAGACCTAGGATCAAGTCCATCCTCAACCATGGTGTGACAGAGATCCAGGGTTGGGAGAAATAACCATCCTTTTCCTGCGCCAACTTATCATCCTGCAGCATCTTACACTCTCTCTTCATGTGGCCCTCTTCACCACACCGATAGCACATTAACTTAGACATCGCTGGCTTGGAGAAACTCAGTCTGGGGCTTGGGTGCGCCGCTCCTCCTGCGCTCCTCAAGTGGCTTCGCTCCCCTTTCTCTCAGCTCCCTCTCCTCTCTCTTCCTCCTTCCTTATCTTGCTTGTAGTAAAAGATGCTTCTAGGTTGCCAACTCTTCCCCTTTTCCCTCACCCTTCTCTGTTCATATTGAGGTTCCTGGGCTTTCCGTTTGTCCAACCGGTCAGCAAATTCAGCAATCTCTGAGGCATCCTCCACATTTCTAGCATGTACTAGTTTCATCACTTCCTCGGGCAAATACGAAAAAAACTTCTCTTTCAGCATGAGATGTTTTGCCCCTTCCACAGAGCAGACTTCAGCTTTACTAAATAATAGTCCCAGCAGCCTGTCCTGTCTGTTTACAAACTCTACCCAAGATTCACCGGGTCTCCTCTCTTCCACCTTCCACTCCCTCCTCACCTGGTCTTCAGTTTTCCCAAACATTCTCAGTGCCAGTCTCTTGAAGGCTGGGAAGTCAAGGGCTTGCTCAATCAGGACTTCGGAGAGTAGCTGCAACAGCTTTCCCAATGCCACACTTCACAGGTGTTTCATCTTTTCCCAATCTGGTACATCATAATCAAGACATGAAACTTCAAATACCCTAAAATACATGTTAATATCTTGGTCATCCTGATACACAGGGAACTTGGGTTTCTGAATGGCCCTCATCTCTGGATTTAACATCCTGCCTCTCCCCATTATCAGCCTTCTTTCCACTCCCCTCTCTTCCTCCTGGTCTTCATCTCTGTCTTCCTTGGAGTCCATACTCCCCATGGACTTCTTTCCTCCTTCCACCATAAGGGGTTTACTCTGCCTTACCATCTTCTTGCTGACCACAATATTTTCCATTTGTTTCTCCAACTCCATCTCAGCATCCATTTTATCTCTTTGCGAAAACTGCATTAGTAACAGCTCCTGCTTCCTTTCCTTTTTACGTGCCATCTTTCTTGCGATGCACAAACCAGGTTTATCCCACACAGCTAGCCACCATGTGACAGATACCCACGGGGGTGAAGTATCCATAGTTCATTCTCCCTCTCTGGGTTCTTTCATTTCTGGTTGTGTGCAATCATGATGACAGAATAACTCAGGAAGCAAGTAGAAAGTTTTCAATGAAGGCTTTACTTAATGCTCAAAAGGATTATGGTAAAGCAAGCTGCAAATTAAAAATCACTCCATAGGAGCAAACAATCAACATATAGAAGTAAAAGCAGGGTTATGAACCCTCTTCACCTAAGTAGCCTTAAGTAAATGTACTTTGGTGGCGAGAGGAGTAGACAGAGAAACTTCCCTTCACACGGCCAAGGAAAGGCTTGAGACTGCAGCTTTCTCAAGTGACCTGTTTTAAGGCAAACCAGCAACAATCTGAGGTAGACATTCACTTCACCAACCACCCACCCTTCCTTTTCACTCCTCCAGGGCTAATCTTAAATACCGTTCCCAGATTGGCCTCCACCCCTCTCCACAGGTGTTAACAATTTAGAGCCCCGCTTAGAATTACTTAACACAGTTTGTAAAGGTTACAATGCAGGATACAAACTGGGGCTCTTTCCCTCAATCTTATCTAGTTACAAAGGTTTTTTTTACTCTCTAACACCTAAAGTTTATTTCTCCAGCTGGTCATAAATGCCTTGTCCACATCACATTGAAGTGGGAGTCT